TCCATGAAGGTTGATCAATTTTTTTTAAAAGATGACAACCAGAGGCGAGATTTCACTTCGGGATATTACTTATAAGGTAACATTCTTTCAAAGCCTCGCACGTTTCATTTGTTCGAAACGTTTGTTGTTGAGAACATTAGATGTATACATCACCAAATTATGCAACATCTTATTTTTGAGCTTCGTTCGCGAATTGCCCCTTTAAAAAGTAGAGGCAGGCCCGCAGAGATTTTTACATATTTAAAAACTAGAATACCATAACCAGTTAGGTAGGTAGTTTCAGTTCCAGAATCGTTGTACTTTTGGAGAAATTCAGATAAAAGTTTTCCCTGTTTTACCCGACAAAAAAAATGACCGAAACTGTACCGAGATGAATAATATATTGGTGCGTTCACATTCACTCCCAGGGAAAATTGAATGAATCAAAGTAAAGACGAATTATGTTACTATGTATGGTAGAAGTACCAATTTGTAATGTTGTATTTAGCTTGAAATAGAGAAATAAACATTGCATTCTTTTTTGCGACGTTTTTGTATGAAAATGAGGCCCCAGGCCTCAAACAAGCAGCCGTCGTTACCATGGTAACAAGAGTGCTGCACCCTTTAAAAAAGGCATTTTTGTGCATCCCCCCTAAGTGCCTAACTGCATGCAAAATTTGGAGGGGGGTTGAAAATTTTCATTTCCTAAGATGTTTGATTCTTTCAGAGACTTGTTCTTAAGATTTGAAACTAATACATGTTCAGAAAAGGTCACGTTATCGAGAAAACGATGCTTGAATATCATGTCTAAAACGAGACAAATTGTACCTGAACAAATGATTCCAGGTCTTCCTCATCATTTTCGCTCTCTGAGTGCTCTACATTTTCGTTCTGTAATGAACGACAAGAAGTTCATCCTCGTTGTCACTTGCCTAGAGATGTCAGTTTCTTCATCTTGTTTCCTAGAAGCATGAGTGATGATATGTCGCATTTTATCGTTCTTTTTTCCTTTGAATGCGAGTTTTAAATGAATAAAAAAATTTTTCTACTCTTGAACTTTTAAATACTAGATTTCACCTTTGCGACACAGAGTGCCCCAGCTACCCTCGTTCAACCGGTTTTTTCGTCAATCTTGCAGATTTCCAATCCGTCCTACGCACTGAAATTCTTTACGCTTTCAATTGTAGTAAGATGAAGCAGTTGATCTTTGACTGACTGGAAGACGGTGCCTGTCTTTAAGCTTAGGGTAAACAGAGAAGGCAATGGGAGTTCCATAGTTTCTCCTAGCAGTTTAATCAACCCCGGGGCAATGTCGTTTTCAAGTTCAATGTTTTATTTTTGATCGTATTTCTCGGATTTCGATAGTACAATAACTTGGTATGTCCGTTGAGTCGTTGTCTGTGTCTTATTCAAACTAATGGTACCGGTAATTGAGCCACTAGTGTTCTAATGATCAAGGGAAAGTCAGCATTCATCAAGTTGGCTTTTTCCGTGTCACTTTTCCAAGCCTCCGTCGTCGTGTTTATGGGGCACAATTGGTTTTGTTTGAGAATCCAGTCTAGAGTTCGCTCTTGGATGTGAATGAACTCCTTTGACTTCAAGTATGGTAATCGCTTCCGCAGATCGCGAGCTTCAGCAACGAACTGATTGCTATTATTCTGCATCATTCCTGACAGCGCAGTTTCGTGGGATGTCCAGGATTCTGAGAGATATCTCAATTGATGACCAGGCGACTTAGATGAAACGTGGAGTCGGTGTTCGCATGGCTGCTGGCCCTGAATCCGAAGTATCCCTTCACTGCAAGTCGAACGTAAGCAACATGGCTGCGACACGTGCCACTAGACTCGCTTAATAGTAAGTTGTGGAAATGATTGTTTTGGCTCTTTTAATTTGAGGTGGCTGAACAGGATAATATCAAGCTGGAATTAGCCGCATTTATTGACTAAATTAAACCTGATGGGGACGAGATAGTTACACTGCAGATCGAAGATACAGAAAATATATATTAGAAGAATGACAATCAACACAGAGCGAAGGAAGACTTGTCCGCTCGCCATCATAAGTTCTTGATAACTCATATGCCATGATACGCAATGTTCACTAAGGCACAACTTACAGTGTGCCTTTGTAGACAAAATATACATGACTTTGTCTAGTTGGTTAGTCTTGAACGAAGAGTGTTTTTTTCGACAACAACTAGATTATTCACTCTCGATTTCTATGAGTCGAAGTAGATTCACATCTTACCCTTCTCAGATACCACGCGCCTGAACATCGAGCTTATAACTCGGTAGCTTAATTTTTCAGGTTGGAAACATCTTTGATCAAAGAAATGTAGGCTACGTGAGTAAAGAGAAAAATGGGCTCATCAGAAATTGGATATCATGTGCTAGCTAATAGAATAAACATTTTACTCAGATCCAGTTGTGACTGTGCATACTGATATCACTTTTTGCTTCGAACAATATTCTTTCGAAAGATTCGCACCATGCACCTTCACTTTCAGAGCTATTCACCGTTGCCCATCTCTACAAGAGCTCGAAGGTCCTTCATTCTGAAAGTGTTGAGGACAGAATTCGTAGTTCCTGATGCAAACTTAAGGGCTAACTTCTACCTGATAGTCTTACAAAACTCACGTAAACTTGTAAACCGGAACCAAAACCAAAAATTTCCGATTTGGTTTATTCCAAGCAAATCCCCCTTATGAAGGAGATGAGAAAATAATAAGCCATCATATTACATAGCTGGCAGTACCCGTGCACATAATGAAGAGAATCCTGTGTTCGGATTGGTTGCCCGAGCGAGATTGCCTGCTCTGATCCCGAGCAAGAAAAATCTTTTCGTCACAACATAAAGTTCCTATTCCTATTTTGATACCCTGTCACTTCTGTGCGATTTCATAGCTAAGGGGATCCAGGTTGTTTCCCAACAATGCAATCGAAGAGTCTCGGAACAGCGATAGCATCTTTTGTAATTCGTCTTTCCTGAAAACCTGTGAAAACGGGATGACAATAAAAAACAAAATTAAATGAAAGACATCATCAAATTTATGCACAGATAGACTGAAGAAGGGTTAAGGTCTTCGAAAGTTAAAACCATTAAATATGTCGAGGTTAAAGAATGAAGCGAATCGCATAAGATCCCATTTCCATCATAGCTGATGAATTTTGTTTTTATAATGAAATTATTTCTGTTGATAGATGGCGATTTTAGTTAAGCAAAATGTAAAATGTTCCCAAACTAACAATGAACTGTGGGGATAGTTGACAGTATGTTAGAGAATATCGATGTCCATTGTTCTTTGTCTTAACGCAATCTGTTTTGGCATGAACAGCTGAGAAAAAAAGATGATACCTCATACAATCTGTATTGTTCGGAGGATATAACATCAGCGAGCTGTAAACACTGCAAAATAATAATAATTCATAAGATGCCCGCAAGACCACTGAATGTCTTCATATAAGAAATGACAAAGAAAGTACCTGCTTGTACTGTTCTGTTGAGTACAGAACATTATGAAGAAGATAACAAGTTAGTGGAAGACAAAGCTGTCTCAACAACTCAAGTTGATGAGAGCGTTGCGAGTCTTCTTCTTCATCCTGAAAAAAAAAAAAATTATGGTGCTATTATTTTTTCCTTTATTTTTCGTATTCAAGCCCTGACACCTGACACCTGACACACCAGAAAGCCCAAGCTAATGAAAAGGATTATCATTCCTCTGTGGAAGCGACGCCAAATTGAAAATAACTTTCGAAAAAAATATCCAGAGCATATACCATGAACAAGTAGAGATCACAAACACAAAATGGAGTGCGTCCTCTTCTGAACTGCAGGCTACCAGAGACACTCCTAAGTTGAGCAAAGTTATGGATAAGGCTCACCAATAAGATGAAGCCGTTAAAAAAGTTTCCATTAATCCTCTCTAAATCATTTCTTTTTAATTTTGAGAGACGCATATCACAGCAAAGCTTATGTTACGTAGGGCCAGACTTTCTATTATTTATAACTTTAAATCCACACTCTTTGATAGATGGATACTACAACAAATTTTCGTGCGTCATAAAAATAGTTTCAAAAGAAAGTCTAATCGCTTCTCAAAAATGTTTGATCATTTTTATGATACACTGGGTTACCATGACAACATTATGGCCTCTAAGAAACAAACTTGATCTCAATTTTTTTTGGGCTTGAAACTCAAAACGAAGTTCCTTTAGCTGCGTTTTCTATTAGATGAATATTCATCTTTAGTTAACTTGTTTAATAACATAGCGCGCGCCGCGCAAGGCCTACTTATTTCCTTAGGAGTTACCATGGTAAAAAATAAACCTTCTGTACCGCACGGCCGTGTTCCATCGCATGACGTGTGCAATTTCACTTGGGCTGAAAGTTCCCCTCGAGTTTAACCGCGTGTTTTTAAAGCTTTCAAGATTGTTTTTCCGTTCTAACCCGACAGAGGGAGACCTTTAGGAGCTCAAAATGAAAAGAAAATATGCTAAATAATGTTCGCTTCGAAAACAATGAGCAATCGAGAAGCTAAAGTAACACTTCTCTCATGCTCTCCAAACTTTTCGCGTGCATCCATAACTCGATATATCCACGCAAAGCATTCTTTAAGAAAATCTGTATAACGGTCATGAAACTTAATTATTAAAAAAGTAAAAAACTCTAAACGGTGTGAACAAATTTGTATAAGGCTTTGCGGTAAATCATATCTTGATATGATAAAATTAGATCTAATCTGAGTTAATTGTCACAACTAAATTGTATTAAGTGTTGAGAAATATTTACAATTGAAAACTGATTTTTTTACTGACACGAAATGGGTCGAAAAGGAAATTATTAAGAAAAAGCTCGGATAGTACGTGTGTGCGTGCGCGACACATCAGAAAGTTTACGCATGCTCAGGTATCAATCTTGGCAAAGTGCTATTTCATGACGTAATGTTTAGGTAGAAAGAAAAGAGAGAATTCGAGTGAGATTTATCGCGTTCCTTTAGCTAGAATTTCCCAGGATTTGGTGGAGTGTTAAACACATTTGTGCTGTTACTATTGCCAATTGAATGAAAAAGATCAATGTAACTCAAGAGGCAGAAAACCAAAATGATCGAAAGGACAAAATTCAGACGTTCAGTATGCAAATTGTGCAAGATTTCACCGAAGAAAGTTGGAGAAAATTAAAACAACAGCCAAATTACCGATAGTGAGTACATTCTCTGAGGAGTTTTAGCTCAAGAACAACAACGTTTATGTCAATATTAACCGCAGAAAACAACAGTCCGACACCTATTTTTTTACATTTTGGTAACGCGCACGTCATAATTAGGATGAAACTCTCTGAAGCTACCTCAAATTTCTTCATTATCCACATTATCCACTAGTTTTAAATGAACTGATCAACGCCGTAGTTAACAGCAATACACAAACACATTCTTACATTTCTGTGGTCCACCATCCAGCCTCCATCAGGAAATAGCAGAACGTTATAAATCTTTTCCATTGTGGTCTAAACGAACAAATTAAAAGGAAAGTTTGTTTTAAAACCACTGAGTGACAGAAGCAATACTTAACACACAACACAGTTGTCATACCTTCGTGTGAATATCTAGCGAGTTCTTCCATCTTCCAAATTCCACCTATTGTATGCAAAGCGACAATCAATCAACTACTTATTCATTTCTGTATCTCTTTTTTTTTTTTTTGCGGAAAACGTGAGTAACGAATTAAACACTGCTCTAACTTCACTTCAAACACATTCTACTTATATTTTCGATAAAGGCAGAGTAAGTTGAAGTGGTAATCAGTTTCGAGGGCTATCACTAAGCGTCAACGAGACACAACACAAGTTCGGATTGTTTTGGATTACAATACCTCGTACTGCTCAAGGCGTTGTTCATACGCCACCTTCTCCGTGAAGTTAGCATGTGCTCCATCATGCGGCCTTGGCTAACCAAAAAAAAAGCAAAACATACCCAAAGAAAAAAACAATTTGTAAGAACCTCATGTCAATTTGAAAGCCCGCAAAGAACAAGCAAGAACAGAACATTTGACTTACTGGTATATTGTGATGAAAATGCTGAAACCAATCATTGAATGCATCAAGAGACTCCTGTAGTTCAATTGATACGATCGCAGTTAGATATAAACGAACGATGATGTAACTAACTGTGGGATCCCAATTTGCCCTACATCGGTTATTATACATACGCTGTTTTAATAGCGACTCAGGTTTATCAACTTGAAATAACAAGGGTGCACTATACTCTCGCTCGCCTTGATCAGATGGAGAGTGAAGGGCTGTAGCTTTATGGCATAATAAGATAAATGACAAAATTACTAGTTGTGATTGGTTAAGATAAATGCAGTTTCAGGTAGTTCAATGCAGAAGAGGGTTAATTCAGTGCAAAGAAGTAACAAACCAGACTGAACAATTCCTTGAACATTTTAGCCGGACTTTGAACTTTTTTGCGCCTTTAAGAAGTGAAAATGTCATTGTATACTATTGTTTTGATCGTACGCGATTGTTTTGACCGAACGCACAATGTAACTTGCAGGGTTTGAATAAATTATTTTTTGCACTTGATACACGCGCTTTGCTTCTAATAATTATGATAAGCTATCTCGTATTTTTCCATTTATATTATTCATACGTAGTCACATTATTTTTCTCGTGCAATTTGGAATAAATAAGCACTTGTGAATTTTTTCAAAGACCACAAATTGCACTCACCATACGGGCCAGTGCGATTTTGCTAGTCTTTGAAAAAATTTACTCGAGCTTATTTGTTCCAAACTGCACTCGAAATCGTGTGATCACTTAAACTAATAAGGATGCTCACCAAGAAAGCTTTGATGCACAAATATTCTCGTATGGCGTTGTCGTCGGCAGCAGGCAAGGGACTGGTTCCACCCTGTTGAAAGTAGAGATACAAACAAGTTATCAACAGGTCCTTGAGAAGAAAAAAAGGTGTCTCAACAGGTCCTTGAGAAGAAAAAAAGGTGTCTTTGCACATATCAAATGGAAGATGGAGGGACTTTATTGTTACCAACGCTAGACATCAAACAGAAAGTTAACAATCTTTGGGTGTAAGTCACAAGGTGTAAGTACGAAAGCAGTTCCAGAGAATTACAAAAGGATACATTCGCCATTGTTTCATTTTAACAAATGATTGTTAGAAGAATGGGGTTGTACGGATGAAATATGGACCGGTCCTATATTCATGTGTGTATGTGTATATATATATATCCTATATACGTGTGTGTGTATATATATATATATATTTATACATACATACACGAGTTATAAGTCAAATATCGGCAATGAAACCAGTGAAGTAGGCTTCAAACTGCTGAAATCTTCATTTATTTGGCTGCAGTATAATTATTTTTGTTAAACTGATTTTGTCAAATGGATGGCAGCCATTCCATATTCACACATTTTCCACATGGAGGAATGGAATTCTTCTTGGAGTAAAGCATAATGCCATTGTTGATTTGTCACTCTTGATGATTGCTTATCACAAAAGGATGCACAAGTTTGACCAAACGGATAATGTCATTCTTTGGTTTGTATAGCTTGAAAAGTTATAGGCTGTTTTTATGAAGTATTTAGCAAAAGTTAGTTTGGCTTGGAACTTTCCATTGTAGTGCAATGTTGAATAGAACAGGTAACAGGCTAAGGAAAGAGACTTGACATTTTTATGCTTTGTTCCTGAAAAGCTGTTCTTTTTTGTAGATAGTAAGAATGTGCTTAGTATTGTATGATGCGTCCTCTTTAATTCTTTAACTTGTGTATACTTAGCTCTGCTACCACAGCATTGAGTACTTTATGCTAAGGTAGACTCTACCCCCACATTCATTTATATATATATACATACATACATACATACACCCATACATACATATATACACACACAAGTATATAGGAAATAACTCCCATAGTCCTATTAGTGGTTCTTAGGAGTGTACAGCCTGTTTTCGTTCTCGTTAACGTTTTTGATAAACAAATTACCGCGGCTAAAGCACACGTTTTCAAAGGAGAGAAGTCGTTATCAGCGCGAACGGAAATTGCTTTTACCGAGCTGTTTCTCTTTGTAGGAATGAAACAAGCGATGAGTAGCACGACGATATTAGTAGGTCGAGTTCCAGTTTGTTTCAGAAAAATGCAAAGGTTTTTGAGCTGCCACTTCTCGCTATTTTCAAGTACAAACACAGTCACGGTTTCTTCAACACCAAAACTTTCTACAGGGATTTCCTCAGCTGATCTAACTGACTAATCATGGTAGTTAAGTGCAACTGCACAATTCCTTCCAATGTTACGCTTAGTAGCCAACGCATCTCACGGAATCACCTTTACGCATCTTGTTTTTAAACTTTTCTCCTGGAAATGTTTAAATAAGAGCAAGAACAGTTAGTAAGAGACTTCTGAGATGGTACCTTTACACTTACTCTCGATTGCCATTCTTTATGAATCACATGGATGGAGTCCACCGGAATCTTTTGGAAAACTTCGCGAGCTGCGGCGTGCTTTCTCGTTGCTTAAATAATCAATAAAATAAATGTGAACACAACACTTCCACTAATTATTCCCCTAATCTGCCATTTTATCATATGACGTCAACGGAATGTGTAAAATATGCCACGGTATTACACTCTATAAGAAGGCAAAATCTACAGACGGAAAGCGGAACAACAAATAAGGCGCGGTGAACAATCATTTTCCTTTTGTTTTCCTTGTTTCAGACTAACTCACAAAGAACACAGGTTTCACTTGCGTTGTTTCCGTCGTTCGCGCACGCCTTAAGCGGTCGACAAGATGTTGAAATAAGGCCGTAGAAAGAAAACTGGCAAACTAAAGGCTACAATACTAGAAACTGACATATTATTGAAACAATAAATCCCGTCATCGATGGTTTAACATCTAATACGAGCGGATTTTTTACTCAATAATTGTATTCTTCCTTAACCTACGGGCCTTGGAGAATAATGCACAGCTCGCAAAATATCCGCGCGATTAAATTTCGGTAGCTTGGTGCATAAAAAATCCTTCCAGCATTAACTATATTAGAAGTATATTTAAGGGGATTAGAATATAATCACATGCTTACCAATAAAGCATCGCATAATCGCATTACTCTGTTTCAGAGCTTCATTTCGCTGGGAAGGCTCAAACACCAACCATTCAATGGCTTCTATCTTTTTTCGGTCCTCCTACAAAACAAAACGGACAAAGGTCTCGTACTTGACCTCTTCTATATATTTTGGTTGGATCAAGAGCCTCCTGTTGCCCAATAATACGACTTCTCTTTGGAAAATGTTCTTGCCGTCTTTCATTGTGTGAAAAATTTATAAGCGACTGTTGAAAATAATATAGGGATTATCATGGTGAAACGTAGTGCTTAGCAAACGATATTCGTTTTGACAAGATTTTTTCATTCTTTGCTTCAGGAGGTTCACATGGGAAATAAAAGGCAGGAATTGACAGCATGTGCCTACTGTTGTATAGTTGTAGAGTATTGCAGTAAAAACGCAATGTGGTGTAAAATGCAGAGGGGTTATAAACAGCTCTTGTCGATGCCAAACTTGTGAATAAATGAGGACTTGGTTGGAGCAGAGTTTGTACATTGGTCAAGCCGGGGACTGGGCAGGAAATTAATAAGATAGGTATTAAATGTGCATCAAATTTATGTCACTACAAAACTTCGCCACTGTGGGCTTTGCTAGAGATTTTTACTCCTCACGAGTCCTGACGGTGCCAAATTTTTTTTAAAATTATTTTTTCTTTTCTTTTTCCATTTTTTGTTTTGTTGTATTTTGTTGTTGTTTTTTTTAAATATATATTTCAGTTTCAATTTTTCTTCAACAGATATGTTCAGAGTAAACTGATGCACATGTGCGAACGTTTGACGACATAGGTCTTATGTTCAAATCAATAACAATGTCGAAATTCAGAGGTGAAGCAAAATCAACGATGAATCCGGAGAAACCTGACCAGATTCGTTCAACGATGGCCAGTGTCAGAACTGAACCAGAACGTGTCACAAGAGATGTTAGGAGTGTCTCACAATGGTTGGCGCTTTGAAAACCGCTTGGGGCTTGAGGGAAGGTTTACGGACTTCTACGACACCAGAGTTGTTTGCGGCCTTCCGAGAAGATAAGCACAGAAGGCTAAAAAACATTCGGTGAGCAATGACTTACTGTAGCAGTAGCAGCTTCCAGAGCGGACGACATGCCTCTGTCGATCGCAAAGTCTTCCTGAAAACGAATGTTAATCTACTTTTGTCAAACGGTAACAGTGAAAATAGTGGAAAACTAACTCCGTTTTCTTATTATCCTGTTGTTTTTGTCGTCATTACTTCCAGGTTCACTGTTGGTTGGTTCAGTTAGTTGTCAGTATTAGTAAAGAGTGATTATTGAATGTAGTGTAATTCCTTACCTTTCCTCGAATGCACTCAACTACCGTTTTGGTTATTAACGGGACATCCAAGCCTAGAAAATAAAAAATAATACGAAAATGAAACAAAGATCAGAAATTGAGAATTCCGAGTCTCAGACCTACCAATTTAGGTCGCAGTCGAAGGCTCTACCAGTAAGAAATAAAGAACTCGATGACGATCTACGTTTAACATCAGGTTCATATACGATAGCGTCCTGCATGTAGCTGTCATAAACAATTTCAAACACACATCGAGTGCAACATTTTAAAACTTTAGGTTTGAATTGCGAAATTAAAGTTTTTGATGAAAGAGAGATCATCTCAGTGTATTTATGCTTTTAAACTGGTAGTTAAGATAACGCCTGATCATCCTAAGATGCCGGTGCAGCTGAGCTATCAACTCGAATAGCTTCCCATGGCTCCACAGCTGGTTAGAGCGCTGTATGGATTACAGCTCTACCCAAGACGTCGTTATTTGACAGAGTACAACGGACAGGTTCTATCTGCTTGCTGTGTCAAAATGAAGTTAACAACTGCGCCTCTCTTTCATGGTGTAAATGTCTGACACCCGTGGCACATGTAAACGATTTACCCCTTATTGTCATAATTACAAAATATGCATGTATAGATGATATAAACACACCCACCAGCACTGCTTGCTAACTCCAAACATTTCTGTCTTTCTTTCATGTCAACTATATCTGCAAGGTAGAATTTAAGTTCTGAGTAATTTTACTGCCCTAAAACTTTACTTTTCAACTGCTCATTGAATGGACGTAAAATTTACAAAATATAATTTACCTTCTAAAAAGTATGCATAGGTTTCTATTTGAATGTCTGCTGGTAGAGTAGCAACGTAGGTCGCTACCAGGTCAATTTGTTTCTCCTCAATTAGTGTCTACAACGAAGAAAGATTATAAAAATTTGAACGTAATATAAAAGACAGTAACTCTGTAAAACACAACATAGTTGGTTTTTGTAATAAAATATGTGTTGGTTGTTCATCGTGGTGTAAGATAGGAGATGAACTTTGTTCGTTTGTCTCACGATAGAGTCACTTTTGATGTTGATCGCGACGTTTCGACTACAATAATGCCAGTCTTCATCAAGCGGTGAAGAGTAACAGCCAACAAAGTAATAAGGGTAACAGCCAACAAAGAACTCGCGCAGGAATTTAAATCTACTACCGTTCTCCCTTACAAGACGCCCTGGAACCATTAAAACAAGACGGTGTCGTTTACAAGATCTCATGTGAATGCGGCAAAGTGTATATCGGTGAAACTGGGAGATCACTGCAAGAAAACTGTACCTTTTTTTTACACCACTGTTCAAAATATAGCTATGCAAGCATGAAGTATCAATATTTAATGAAGCCTCCATTGCTTGAACTCAAAAATGTATGTGTTAGGCCAATTTCACTTCATTTAACACTACCTTCAAAAGGGAAGTACACACCTGAACATAAGCTTTCAGGATGGACACACATTTATCCAAATCAGTCTGTCAGGACACAAGAGAAAAGAGAAACGTAAATAAGTTTCTGAGATACCTCACCTATAAACTTGGAAAAAAGTAGAAAAGCCACTTATAATCCAGTTCTAAAGAAAGGCTATATGCACGTTGAAAGTAGTCCTGGAAGGCTCATTCTCTCGATAAACAAATTAACTCTTGAGTTATTCATAATTATGCGCAACAGGTGATCTGTTAGCACGTATTGAGTCAAATGTCCATTGTTAATAAAAAATATTCCAAAAAAGTTGCATTTCTGTTCCGTAGAATGCTTAACATCAAAAAATGTCGAGATTGGATAAGCATACACACTACAATACAAAGAAATTGCCTTCATACCTACTTGAGACTACAATCTTCAAATCTACATGACAAAACACACGACCATAACATATCTAACATTACACGAGCATATACATGTAAAGAATTATTGTGCGCAGTACTAACCTCAGATTCGATTCCAGCTGATCGCAAAAACAAAACAAGATGGGCCTAGAATACAAACATATTTACATGATTCAATTCAATTCACTCCTGTTAATTTAAATCCATTTTCACAGAAGAATAATCCACTTTAAAAACGACTCAGTGTGCTCAATTCTCACCATAAACCGTAGTATTTGGGCTTTAGGTTTCTCCTCCTTTTCGAGCCAGCTGTGCATTTTTTCAATCAAACCTTAATCATAGGAGAGGAGCATGAAATGGAATATCATTTTTCCGGTGATTTGAAATCAAACATTCCAAATGAAAAAAGGGGGTAAGTTTCTAAAGAAACTGTGGTACTACGTCAGTGGGAGAGTATAACAGGGTAATTAAATTAACGCATTAAAATTTAATGCTGCATAGGTGGAGGAGTGTAACATGATAATTTGTTTTTCACCACTGAGTTGATGTAAATTGGCAGCCGTAAAGAGTTTCTAAGCTGACGTTTCTAGCGTTAGCCTTTTCTCCGAGCTAACAGCTAACGCTTGAAACGTGAGCTTAGAAACTCTTTAAGGTGGCCAATTTTCATTATCAACTCAGTTGATACTCCAAATGAAATATTTTTTAAAGCACAGATCCTATCATAAGTAGGGTAGAACCATGTTAGCACTCCTAACATGACTCTTATCGTATCCATATACAATCCACTAGTATGAGGAATTTGGCTTTCCACGAGTATTCCTCATCAAAATACCAAACGTTGAACGTTTCCACACATGCATCGTTCTTACCAGTTGTGTCATTTAGTATGATATGCTTCTGTACGACATGATGGAACTCCTCTGCTTGATGTTTGATGGACTGACATGAAAATAAGTTCATAAATCAACTGCCGTTTCAATTTGCATAACAGATTATAGGCAGGCTTAAACTGAAGAACAAAATTTAAACAGTTAAAACCCAAAAATCACAAACAAACCTCTTTTGGGCAAGCATAGAGTTCATCAAATATTTTCTCTGGATTCAGGCTAGAAAAAGATCAGGTAGACTGTGAGATAGAAACTTATTCAGCCTCTGTATGGTGGAGGGTACAATAGGCATTAATTCAGTGTTTCCCCTTAACTTTCTTCAGTCTCAATCACAACCAATTTGTGCAACTTTACTCTTTTACCGCTTAAACAATATGCTGTATCATACTCAAGCACCAAACATGGTTTTCTACAACTTAAGCCAGTTAACTCTCAAGGTCAGAGCTAATTGTTACGCCTCTGCAAAGTTTTAGCTTGCCAAAACAGGTTGGAGGAAATTTCCTTAGAATTTTCGCAGCGGACTAAAATTTGCCATCTGTCATGGTCAAAAAGTACCTTGAGCTAGACCAAACTTGACTGGAAATGTAGCTCTTTTGTTAATACTTGCTTTGGTGTCTAGTCCCTTCTGCGATACTTGATGAACAGGTAAAAGTTTTGAAGGTTACCGAAAGTTTGCCCAGCAGAATGTACGTGAATCAATAATTTAATGACGCAGTGGTAGATTCAAGTGTTATTTACTAGTCTGAATCCCTTGAGTGAATGATTGAGAGAAAACTAGTCATCTGTGTTGAGTATGGCCTGAGCCTACACAGTTTTGCCAAAATGTACCTTGCAGTTTATAATCAAAGTAATAAGCTGTTGTCAGCAGCTCAAAAGCAAAAATTGCACTTACACATGATCCCAGAAAATGGAAGGCAAGCTTTCCAGATCTCTTTCAGGCCTGGGATGAAGGCGAATTTCCTACACAAAATAGAGACATGTCAAAAGTTTGCACCAATTCTTTGTAAAGTTGGGGAAACAGTTTAGCCACGTTGGTAAATCAACTAGGTAACATATACCAGAATTCAGATTTAAAAATATGCGAAATTAACTATTCTTTCCTTTAAAAGATATCTTTTAACTCTGACTAACCCATTTCTTGCTGACTTGCAAACAGCCTGTAATGAGCTAAAACAAGTCAATATTTACCTGTTCCACCCTAACATCTACCATAACTCGGTAAAATGCCCAAAGATAGTCTTCCCATGACTTGCAAACTTGTAGAAGCTGTGAATCAAATAAAATATTATTGAGTTTTTGCCTGTTTATCTACCACCAGAAGGGAAAGTTTTATCTTGCCAAAGAATCTCTGTTTGTGAATGACGAAAATCTAGCAGCAGCTAGAAAAATTGCATCGAGAAAGACATGTGCTTGTGAATGGTAACTCCTGAGAATAGGTATTACTAGACTTCTCCACTCTGATAAGTTCAGGAAAGCAGACAAGGAAGATAGTTCCTGTCCTGTTGCCTTACTCACAATTGGATTTATTATTTTTGAAAATACTTCACCAATGGGGCTTTTTAGGTTAAAAAAAAAAATTATGACATTTTTTAACTGTCAGAGGACTCTCAATATTTACCAAAATCAAAAGTTTGTAAAGATATCAATGTCAAACAAACTTCCTTATCATTCACTCTAATGCATTCACTGTGAATAAATGCACTAGGAAACATATCATTTTTGTGTACACCACAATGGTAAAACGTACTGCATCCTGGCTCGGTGGAAATCTTTCCTTAAACTAATTATTTACTTATCACTAATTCATTTATTCAACTCAGGTGAGGTTTCCCAATTCAAAATTTATTCTTCTTTTTGGTAAAGATATATATGGATTTGAAACAAAGAAAAACATAATTCCATAAAACATAAATTGGACCACAACAGTTATTTACTGGCTTTCACACGAACGTACAAGTGTAAAGGTCAGGAATGTACTGAACAACTACTAAGTTTGGTTACATCAGCTAATGTATTCTCTATAATTATCCAATAGAGCTACCTGGCTGAGATTTCCACTGAGTGCTGCATAAATAGCTCTCTCATATACACTGAATTTGTTCTGATGGATTAAAAACAACATGGTGAGCATGCATTGTTTTAACTGATGATGCAATAGAATTTTTTAGGACAAGTTATTATGGAGGATAGCTACCTGATACTGTGGTGAGTGTCAATCCTTTTAGAGGCCATTAGACAGAACTGAAGTATCTTATTTTGGGAAACACGAAATTGAACAATCCCATTCCTAATAACAACACTCCTTGACACACGGAATGTTAATCATACTTCTAATTACATACATTGCAATATATATAAACATTAAAAGACTCTAGAGTGTTTCTTTCCATGTCTGAACCTATATTGAACTCAAAGAAGCCACACAACACTGTACAAGGTTTTAATTTTTAAATGGACAAAGCTGTCCACAACTGAGGATGGGAAGGTTTATATAACATGTGATTCATCAGCCTTTTCTTTTGATATAGTCTTATCTTGATCAGGACTAAAATGTACACTTACTTCCTCAGACATCTTCCAGCATGCTGCTTTCCATACATCTCTGTACGGGTTTCCCTCAACAGCTGATAAAGTTTCATCACTTGAGACTGTAGAGAGTAAAAAATGTTTGGGTCCCATACATTTATACTTTATTAACATTGATGCTGGTAAGAAATCTTCATTTGTGTAATATAGCTGTGGTATAAACAAAACCATATGCATGGGGCCAAGTAAATTTAAGGATTTATATCACTTGTGTTTCCAGAAGTTGCAAGTGATTATTTGTTTATGGGGCAAAATTTTCTCTTATGAGGGAAGTCAAATATGCTCACTATTATGCACTTTTGTAGGAAGCCATTTCAATGTTCAGCTAGCATCAAGGAACTATAAAATGTGTGAATCAGCAGAATAAAATTTCATTTTTGCACAACTACAGCAATGCAATGAAACCAGCCCTACCTAAAAAAGCATTCATCATCAATGAAATCATAACACATAATGATTTCATTGATATGGAAAAATTAGGCCTTTTTTAAAGTTTCTAAATTTTGGTATTTGCCTGCAGCAATTACCTAAATTAAGGAAAAAATGCCCTCTATCTCAGCCAATCAGCATTAAATAATTGTCACCCTCCATGTTATGACAATAGTAATCATGAATCAATCACTCTTAAATGCTACCTTATGGTAAAATAAAAAACAAACAGAAACAAAAACAAAACAAAACAGAAAAACATTCAAAGGTTTGTTATTCTCCTGTGGCAAAGTCAATCAAATCTTGGGTTTTTACAATACCCCTGGGCCAATGTTTATGGCAGGTTGCATACAGCTATTGCCCTCAAATAGGAATTTTCCTAGCCAGGACAGCACTGTACATGTTGCAAACACAGAGGCAAGAGCTAACAGTTTCCTCTGGTTAGTATTGTAAAAAGCATACAGACACATTAGGTTTTGTAAGTGTTTTGCAATGCTGCCATCAAACAAGCCACAGCCCATTGCTAACAAGTTACATTTGGCACTTATTTTGCTACTCTATGTGTTACATTATTGTATATTTCTATGAAAGTCAGCTAAGCCATATGATATTGTGCAAAAGTAATGTAAATGCCTGTGACCCCATTTTGACAAATTTCCTAGCATTTCTTCAAACTTTTGCATCAAACAAAGTTTTCACACAAATGTGAATTCTCAAGGCAGTTATTATTTGGATCTTGTTTGTACTTTCCCTAAATAATTCACTTGGGACATTATTGAGCACAGAGATTTAGAAAGCCGGTAAGAACTGACTTTATGGAACACTGAAATGGATATACCACAAATTTAACCACAATTTATTCTCTGACCTATAACAGCTTAACACCACACACATAAACTTTTACCTCCATCCATGTTATTATCTTGCCATAGTTTCCATCCTTGAAGAGTTGCGGCCCTCCAAGATTGACCACACTTCTCACACAGGCATTGAGCCTGAAAGAAAGAAAAATTAACAAATTAAGGTACTTCCAAGGGGACAATGTAATTAAATACAAATTGTGTCCTCACCTCTTCCAGTTTGCCAGCCCTAATTAAAGCAAAAAGATGCTGTAACAACCTGGCTTCATCTTCCTGTGATGAAACAAGAACAAAGACTTGTTAAACTGAGGGTGGATCAAACATTTGAAGTTGATGAGTTGATCTACAGATGCAACACATTGCACAGTTAATGATGTTTAAGATGTAAGCAAAATCAGATGGCTGTTGTTATGACAAGAGACATTGACTGGGTCCAACAAGTGTCAATCAGATTTTGCTGTCCTTTGAAAGTCAAATTCAACTTCAAATGGTTGTTAAAAGCCTTATCTAAAAAAAATTATTCAGATCGTACCTGATCTAAATCAGCTAAAGGTCGGTTCTGCCTGACTGGGGCATCTGGATCCTGTTATGTGACAGACAGATTCTTACAAAATGATTTTAGGTGATGAACTACAACAGCACACTAGTCTAATAGTTAGTGGGCTGGACACCAAGTTGGTTAACTGTTGTTTTATTCTTGGGCAAAACACTATTTTCACATTGCATCCCATGCATCCAGTAGTAATACTCCTAGTTACTTCCATGTGACAGAAACTTGGATAGGCTTTGGCTAAATGGGCTACTTGGTTTGGTTATAGAAAATGCTGCTGTTCATTGTGGCTTTATAGGTAAATGAATATGGGAGTCAGGCCAATCAATTGTGAGGTTATATGTGGTTATTGAAAAGTTGCAATCAATACAAAATTGATTAGCCTGACTCTCACATCATGAGACAAATGATGAAACTTTCATTTATTTCTAATGTCCTTTGCATCATTCAGCCCAAATTAAACTTAAAACAACAAAAAGAGAAAGAAACATCTTCACTAACATTCTATAGCTAAACCCAATAAGAAACCAGGATATTACCATCTCTGTGACAAGAGGTCTTCTCATTCCCATATTTTGTCCTCCTTGTTGCAGGGTGTGTAGGGTGTTTTCCCTAAATGAACAAAAGGGATAAACATTTTGAAACTACAGTGTATATGTGGATGCATAGTCTATAACATTAAATAACAACCCCAGCTGATGAAAGAAATAACCCTCAAAACAATTTTTTTGTGTACAATTTTCTGTAGCTGCACTTGCAGCTACAGAAAATAGTGAGCAGTTTCCTTTATGGGTAAACAGAATCCACAAGAGTCAGCTTGAGTTCAAACATGTGGTTTTGAAGCTCAATCCTATTAAAGCCTGAATTTTTTTCAGGCTTCTTTTTCTGCAATGGCTTTCATTGCAGATTACTTGAAGGAAGATTACCTTATATGCTTATCATCAGCAAGTAATTAATTTATTTTAATCGTGAGGGTGTATTTTGCTTTGATTTCTGATCTAGATATCTAGAGCTTTGACATCAAATTTTGTGTACATTATCCAGGACAAATAATGCTTCATCTTTCCTTTTTTTTTTTTTGGTAATTTTCTTCTACATTAGCATGCTTTTTCTCATCACAAATAAGCTTAAAGGAAGTTTTTGCCCCAGGCTAACTGGGACTTTGCCTAAAGCTTGGCTAAAAGGCTTGCATGCCATGTCACTGGTGTGTGATAAGACATGTCTCGCAGAACAGCCTACATGTGCATTCAAACAAGAGTTGTGAATGGTGACTTGAGTTTCACTTGCATTACACAATGCTCTAAGAAAGCTTTGTAACTGAATTGAATAGAAACAAAAAAAACCAAACAAACCCCAAAAAACCACAAAAAGTGTATAACTCATCAAACTAAAGCAAACAAAGTAAACAAGCAATAGAGGGGTAAGTTTCTAAAGAAACTGTGGTGCTGCTGCATCAGTGGGAGAGTATAGCAGGTAATTTATTGTTAACAACTGAGTTGAAACGTAAATTAGCCACCGTAAAGGGTAAAAAAGCTGATGTTTCGAGCGTTAGCCCTTTGTTAGAGTGATAGAAATGTCAGCTTTTTTACCCTTTACAGTAGCTAATTTATGTTTTCCACTCGGTTGTTAACACCAAATTACCTAAAGTAAACAAGCAACTTACTGAATCAGTAAAAACTCAACTGAACTGATATAAATAAACACAAGATGAATTTTTATTATAAAGTTACCAGATTGGTACCATTAAGATGAAACAACCCAAGTGCGATTGAACCCCTCTTCTTCTGAAGATGAAAGACTGTGCTGAGTTATTGCTGAGTTTACACGATTTTAGAATGCTTTTTTTTTTTCATGCTTTTCCATATAAACCAAGGTCAAAATAACAACAACATTTGTGTTGACTCAGTTGTCTTTCAGCACTGTCTCAGAATTTCTCTCCAATTTCTTTTGTTTCAGGGTTTCTGTTTAAAAAGTAGTTGAATTCTTCACACACCACTTGGAAAAGCGATGTTTACCAAAACTACACTATACACCATGTCATTTCTCTCCCTGTCAATTGTTTAGTGTGTAATTTTGCTGTGCACATCCGTTCACCTGAGAACACATTTTCCCACAAAGGGTCAGTTAGTAAGAGTTTGTGATTCCTGAAAAGTGAAAACTCTAAAATATTAACTTACCAGCAAACTGACTCTGAAAAGTACTCTACTTTGTCACTTTCTAAAAAAATCTTCAGCCAATCCTCTGCATTCTTTTCTAGCCAGTCAACTACAATCTAATAGAGAGGACAAAAACATTGTGTGTGTCATGTGGGCTTCTGCATCAATTTACAACATGACTGAAATTGCCCTGAGGTAATGAAATAATCATGTGCCAAAGCTTTGACTTTCAACACCCTGGAGAACTTTGAAATAAAATTAGTTAAGTAAACAATATGAAAAGCATGTCAAATATTTCTAAGAAGTGTGAATCTTTGGCTAGATAATAAACTCAACAATGCATTTCTCACAAATACTAGTAATGGTATTTCTCAATAGCTGGCATAGATAATAGCTTGAAATGGGATCGAGTCTGACTCTTGTTTGCATCACAACCTCTGTTTGAGTGGGGAATATGCTTTTTTGTCCCTTTTGGCAATTGTACTTGTTCCTCATTCAAGCATAGGCACAATGATGGTGCTTTTGAGATATATAATCTTTCATGAAGAGAAGTAACCATTCCTCAGAATTAATTAATTTCCTTCAGATAAGAAGTCACTCCTCATGAAGAATGAGATGTCAGAAAATTCTAGAATGGATTTTTTGAGTGCATTATGCTATTTCTCAATGAAGCGTACAGTATAATTATATAGCTATAGAACAACATAACTGAACACACTGTCATTTTTGGATGACCATATTTATGCAAAGAGATGGCAAGGCAAACATTTTCTATACTGAGAGCAACATATCAGAAATGAAAATTGTGTTTCTATTAATGGCATTAGTGGGATAATGGCACTTCTTTTATCTTCAATACATACCTGTTTTTGCCTAGTTGAGGCCTCTCTTTCATACAAATTATTTATAATCTTTTTTTCATTCCAGTTTCTGCCCTAAAAAAAACCAACACAAACCATTACAAAATTAATACTAGAGTCTAGCAAGTGGCTAGAGCACCAAAGAAGTGTAGGGAGAAACATGAGATTATGTTTCGGACATAAGTACAAATTGGCAGATGGCACGACAGCTTTGGCTCAGCTCTATGTTTTGTACTCTGATAAAGCACACTCTTTCAACCAATGGCAGCGTGTGTTATACTCAAACTTTTATAATACAATTAGGGCAAATTATGTGCACATATTAATAACTATACTGCACAAAATGACATGTTGAGCATTGATTGTACAGTACTTACCACAAAATTTGTCAACATAGCTCCATCATCACATATTCCATATTGCAGTCTGTCACTACACATTTAATAAAACAGAATAGATTCAAATTGCATCAGCATGGCACATAATTCAACTAGCACATATTCCCCTATTTGTTACGACCAAACTAGAATATTAATTAAGGAGTTGGAAGTTGGAACTTAACCAGGCACATAGACAACAGCCAAGAACCACAAGTAAACTCAAACCACCTGTTATGTTCAGTACTGATTGACACACAAATCAACATCAGAAATAATATTTATGGCCAAACTTGAATCCCTTGTAGGAAACATAAAGTAGATCATCAATAATCAAACAATTTCTCCAAGTTGTTTTTGTTTTATTAACTTGCTAATAACAGGACAGGCTACAACTCTTATTCACCTTTACCACATCTAACCATCCTGACAAAGATGCTACTCTTTCACTCTTTAGTTTCTAGACAAAATTTCCTATTTTGAGCAATGTAGGGGGGTTTGAAATTGATAGAAATATTCTTATAGCTCTGTTGTTGTTTGAATAAAGGAGCAGCATGGCTCTGGTATTAAAACATTGCTGCAAGGGTTTCTGAATAAATGCTATCAGAATAAATAAACAGGCAACAGTTTAAAATATAACCAGCACCCACCTGTATAAGGAGCCAACAAGCCTCCAAGTGTAACTCTCTTGAGAAATGAGATGCAATATGTCAACTTGTTTAGAAAATCTACCAAAAAAAAATTTAAAAGATTTCTCTACTACTTAATACATTGTACTAAGTTTAAGTACTATCTTTAAAATCTTATTTTTGGAGATTCATCAAGTTACTTTACTTATTTTAGGTGTGGTGTGGAAGCCTGAGAAAATCAACTTTATGGCACTCTTACTACACAAAAGTTTTAAGCTCAGATTATGATAGTCTGAGTTCCAGAGAACATTGCCACACTGGTTTTAGCCACAAGTGGGGTCAGTGACTTGTTATTAGGGGCTGTTAAGGGCTTTTGGAACTTTCAGCAATACATCCAGAAATACTCAAACAAATTACTAAGAATCTGGAGGGGTAATGTAACTGATTGTTGGAGAGTCAATGACCTCTGATGAGAGCTCCTAATGGCACAAAGTTAATAAATCTGGGGCATGGAAGTTTCTAAATTGAGAGTCACTAAGCTCAGATGAGAGTCCCCAACAGCACATAAAAAAAGTAAAGTAAAGCCTTTAGACAGGCCCAAGTGGCCCATGGGGCTGACGCTTAAGTCCTGTTTCCTTAGCATGAAGCAGCTAGGAGTATTGCTACTCCCCCCCTGGATGGGATGGTAGTCCATCACAGGGTTACCCCCATCATATTTGCTGGTACCCATTTGTACACCTGGGTGAAGAGAAGCACTGTGAGAGTCAATGGGCTCTGACAAAAGCTCCTGATTGCAAGAAGTTTATTAGTAGACAAAGGAATCAAAACAGCTCTCATGAGAGCTGCCAAATGCAAGAAGTTTGTTGGAAAATTGGGGAGTCAATGAGCTCTAAGAAGAGCTTTTGAGTGAAAAAAGTTTGTGGGTCAATTGAGTCAATGAACTCTAATCAGAGCTACTGATTGCACAAAGTTTGTCGGTTGATTAGGGAGTTAAGGAGCCCTAATAAGACCTTCTAATCACAGGGATTTGTTGGTTAATTAGGTATTCAATGAGCTCTGATGAGGGCTCCCAAGGGCACAAAGTTGGTTGGTTGGTTGGTGAGTCAATGACCTCTGATAAGAGCTGGCTATGGAATATAGCTGTTGGTCAGTTGGGGAGTCAATGACCTCTTATAAGAGCTCCTGATGGCACAAAGTTAATAAATCTGGGGCATGTAAGTTTCAAAATTGAGAGTCACTGAGCTCTGATGAGAGCTCCCAACAGCACATAGTTGTTAGTCAATTGAAGAGTCAAGAAGTTTATTGGCAGACAAGGGAGTTAAAAGAGATCTCATGAGAGCTGCCACATGCAAGAAGTATGTTGGTAAATTGGGGAGTCAATGAGCTTTAACAAGAGCTTTTTAGTGAAAAAAGTCAGAGGGTCAATTGAGGAGCCCATGAGCTCTGATGAGAGCTCCTGATCACAAGAAGTTTTTGGTTGATTAGGGAGTCAATGCTCTGATGAGAGCTCCCAATGGCACAATGTTTGTTGGTCAATCAGGATGCAATGAGCTCAGATAAGAACTCCTGATGGTAGAAATTAAAGTTTGTTGCTCAATCAGGGAGTCAATGAGCCTTCATAAGAGCTCCTGATCACAACATATTCATCGTTGGATCAGAGTTATTGAGCTCGGCTAAGAGCTCTTGAGTGCAAGAAATTTGTTGCTTGATCAGGGATTCAATGAACTCTTAAACTAGTTTGAACTGGCTGAAAATGAGATGCACCATGCAACAGATCAGATAAAACCATAGAGCTACAGCATGTATTTTGTGCGTGTTTTTTCTTATTTCTTTCTACCTTTCTTTCTTTTGAAACTTTTTGCTCTACCTTGACAAAACATATCAACGATACCAGGTAACAATCAGGATTACTGGAGTACTAACAATTACTTTAGGTCAGTCTGGAACTTCTCACATCCAGCACACTAGTGAGTTACATGCATACAACAAATTAATCCTTGTTGGAGGTTTGAGTGTATTAAAAATAATCCACAAACTTTCCATTTCACCTTGGACTGCTGTCTTGGTTGATCAGGGAGTCTGTATGACCCCTTGTAAGAGCTCCTGAATGCAAGATATTTTCCGGTGGATCCAGGAGTCATTGAGTTCTGATAAGAGCTCCCAATTGCAAGAAATTTGTTGGTTGATCAGGGATTCAATGAGCTCTGATAAGAGCTCCTGATGACACAAAGTTCCTTGTTCAGTTGGGGAATCAAACAGCTCTGATAAGAGCTCCCAATGACACAAAGGTTATTAGTCAATTAGGGAGTCAATGAGCTCTTATAAGAGCCTTTCATCACATGATATTTGTAGGTTGTTTAGGGAGTCAATGAGTTCTGATAAGAGCTCCTGATGGCAGGAAGTTTGTTGGTCGATTGTGGAGTCAATGAGCTCAAATAAAAACTTCCAATGGCAAGAAGTTTGTTCATTTAAATACAAAGGCAAAACAAATTTAGTGGAAATACCCTCAAGACTCAATGAACTTTAATAAGAGTTCCCACTTGCAAGAATCGTGGATTCAATGAGCTCCCAAATGCAAGCAGTCATTTGGTTGATCTGGGAGTCAATAAACTCTGATAAGAGCTCCAGATTGTAAGAAGTTTGTTGGTCAATTATAACTGTCTAATTTGGGAAGACTAACTGTCATTGTGTGGATGTCATAAAATATTGTTCTAGAAAGGAGAACTCCATTAAATATGACAAACTAGTCAGAAGAGAAAGTTCAGTCATGCCAGTCCCCCCAAAAATGGAACAGCTTCAAATCTAGTGAATAAAATCAACCAGAAAATTTATATAAGAAATTGGTAAGCACTTGGTAAGAAATTGCAGGGAGGGTGCTTAATCCTTGTGCGAAGTTGGTACTAGCAGCATGCTTTGAAATAGCTAGGGACACAGTATCTACCATCTGCCAGTGTAGTACCATAGTTAGGAAAAGGACACAAAAAGTTTATCCATGCTGAGGACAGTTCAGCCATCTGATAATGATGTAGCTCTGAAGTATTTCCTTTGTATTTCTACAGATCATGATTTGAGGGCTGACCAGCTATAGTCCTGCAGTGATGTAAAGGACATGCTTTGCTATCTTCCAATAAATCATCTCATAGAAAGCTTGAAAAAGAGCTTTGCAAGCCTCTACCAGCATTCCAAGCTCTTACAGGATGTAACATCACAAGTGGCTTTTGTTAAGTGGCAAAAGGAAGGCTTGGAAGGCTACTGTGAATAACAAACATGCATAATCACAATTACAGGTCTTGGAAAATAAGTACTGAGAAGTTAATCCATCTGCTGCGGCTTTCATAAGCTCACTTTACATTCCCACATTTTAGGCTGGTACACCAGCAAAGGAAGGGATGATGTCAACAATTCCATGTATTTAACTGACTATATTGTTTTGAACTTTAAATGTAGGAGGTTGGAAACTGGTTCTTGACTGTCTTTTTTTAAACATTTGTCACAAGGCATTTGTATTTTTCAAGCCAATAACATCTGCCGTTTATTCCTTTCAACAATAAAACATCAGCAATTGAACAATGATGACTGTTCTTTTTTATCACAAATTCATCAGAAATAATAATTAATAACAGTATATTTCACAAAAACAATGTTTATCTTGATTTCCCAAGCAACCATTGTCATGGTAATAGTTTAACAGACCACAAATAACACATCTCCTCTCCCAAAAAAATGTGTGATATTTGGTTGACCAGTACAAGTGATATTGCCAAAAACATTCCTGAACTCGTATATTTAGTGCACTTCCATGAGCACCCCCACCCACACCTCCCCTAAAAATCAGTGAGTAGCAGGTCACTGACCCCACAATTTGTCACTGTGACTGATGTAGCAATGATCTATGTGTATCAGCCTGTCACAATCCAATTTCAAACCTTTCATATAGTGAGGTTGCTATGTAATGCCTTTTTTAGGCCTCTTTTTCAAATCTCCTAGACTATTTCAGCTTTCATAGCACATCCCATGACTATAAAGACAAAAAGGGCCTTTCAACTGTAACATCTGTCATACAAGAAATTTCTTTGTTAGCAACATAAAAACCATGTGATAAGGTAGATTTACAAACATTTGATTCAGGAGTGTTATTCAAGTGTGGTGTAAGAAGTGTGTGAGGGCAGCAGTTTACATGCGCTTTTTCTTTTTTTTTTAAATTTTTCTTATTTTCTTTTCTGTGAAAGCTATCATGTTTGTCCTGTATGAAAACCATCCTTTTCAGAACTGACAGTCATAAGTATCTGTCATAAGTTGAGGACTGAGTGTCAAAAAATCCCAGAAATAGTTATTTTGATCTTTTCCTTAAAGACCTGTACACAACTTAGTTTTCAAAATTCAAACATCCATGAATCAAGCCTGGAAAAATTGAGTATTACTATTAATAGTGACTTAAATGTGAGATGATAAGATTCATTGAAGAGGCAACCAACTCCATTTCTTGTGTAAAGTGCAACCTTCAGAACGGTTCCAATAAAAATTTTTTGTCAAAAAGTGATGTTAATTCATACTGATTCTGATTGGCGGCAATGATGATAAATAACTTCACCTCACAGAGTGGGAAGTCAGGAGGCAATGTTATTTATTGATTGAGGTTGTTCTCACTTTTTCTGAATGCTGTGTTGTTCACTTTTTTTGTCTCTTGCTGTAATTCTTAATGTACTGTATCTTACAAGAAATTTTTTCTTTTGCCTTTGATATACATCTTTAACCCTTTACACGCTAACATCAGTATTCATATTTTCCAAGGGTGCTGACCAGGAGAATTTGTCTAACAATCAAGAGTCTCTATAGTTGGTGATCATTTCCTTTATTCTCATGACATTAATGTGTGATTCAGTCACTGTGGTGATATCTTAGGGAGAAATTAGATACTGGTCACTCTTATGGATTAAAGGGTCAAACAACATGCTTGTAGGCCAAAAAGGAATTTGGGCTAAGATTCTGAGCCTATTTTGCAGGAAAGTCTGATTGAACATAACTGATTTAATATCTCAGAAACAGACAGTAAAATAAGCTGCACACACTCAAGGAAAGGAAAGTTCACTCAACTATACAGTTATCCTGCTGATATATTGCTACTTATAATCCATCATATATCTTTGCTACTGTGCAACTGGTCAAAATGCATCATGTGACCATATATGCCCAGGTTAAGACTGGGAAATATCCAGATATACCCAAGTGATATTCTCCAATTTTCAAAGGTTACATCCACAACTATAGGTCAAATTAATCAAGACAAGAAAGCATTTTATGGTTGTTACAGAAGAAGGTTCATGTTTGTTTGTTTACAGAGTCTCACCAGAGAGCACTGAAAAGTGAACATCTCATACAGTAGATAGTGAGCTGTTTTTAAACGTTCTTTCCTATGCCTTGCAAAAATACTTGAAGAATAATGAATAGCCTCTACTTGGTGGGGAAATATGCTAGTTAAGTAAATTTGTCTTTAGACATTTTCTGTTACTTGAAGCTCACAGTTTGTGTCTCTCAACAAATACATCTGCAGACAAATATCTGTGCATATTTTGGCTCCAAATGGAGACTTTTGTTTTAAATAAGTACCACAGCTATCTCACTGAAAGAAAACCAGGTATTTCTAAGTGATAACAATATCTACTTGAATGCAAAGATGAAATCAAAAGGCAGTCACAATTTCTCTAAGAGAGAGAAAAACACACTGCTGAGCTGCAGCCATAATATTCCAGAATGGAAACACAAAGTCACTGAGCTCCTGCCATATATGATCATGGAATTGAAACGATAATTATGATGATAAATCACAAAGAGCTCACTTATGTGTGTCAAAAATAAAAGCTTTAGCTTAGCAATTTAAATCAAACTATACAAGAACATCTTCCCAATCAGAATATCATTCAAATAATGTTGATAATATAACTTGCAATTTTTATTACATTTAACTGCCATTTGCATTACTTTTGCTCTGTACTGCATGTGCACTGTGGCAAATTGTAAAGATATTAATTACAAAAAAGTGCCCCTCTTCAAGCTTTCTCGTATTTGTAAAACTTATCTGTACCATTACATTCACTTTACAGACATGTCACTTTAAAAATATGCTTACTTAGTTTTTCCTGGTGATGACAGTCTGATCAATCCATTCAGAACCAGCAGCTGCTGCCTGCAAGCCTAGGGTAAATACACTTTTAAAAACTATCCACAATACAGTAATGTCTAACATAAATGCTAAAAAAACAACATTTATGAGAACTAAATGGGGATGAGTTTCTAAAGCAACTTTGGTGCTGCATCAGT